AGGAGCTACCCTACCTCAAGTGCCCCCTGCACACGGTGGTCAAGCTGACGCCCGTGGCCTACGGTGAGTGTGGGGGGGTTGTGGTCCCCCCCAGTCCACCCTATGTCCCCCCCATTCCGCTGACCCCCGCCCCGGTGCCAGGCTGCGAGGTGGAGTCCATCTTCCTCAACGTGGAGGCCGTGAACACGCACCGCGAGCGGCCCCAGGTGAGCACCGGGCGCTAATTAACCCCCCTCACTGATGAGCCCCGGGGAGGGGGCGCCAAGGGGAGCCCCCCCACCCCATTCCCACCCACTTCGGTGCCCGCAGAACGTCGACGTCAGCCGCCCCCCTGCCGAAGCCCTGGTCACGGTGCCCGAGCACTACTGAGGCCCCCCCGGCTAAGTAAAGGCCGCCTGAACCACCAACCTGAGCCTGGTGCTGGGGTGGGGGGACCACAGCGCTGCCAAGGCCGGGGTGGGGAGGGGGTTCTTTATTTGAGGCGGGGGGGGCAATGGAGGAATATCCACCGGGGCTCAGAGGGGGCCGGGGCGCCCCTCGGCCTCCTTGAACTGGCTCGTCCAGAAGGAGGGCTCCTTGCCTTGGATCTGGGTGCCGGGGAGAAGACACGGGGCTGGTGGGTGTCAGGGCGTGCGGCTGCCCCCCGCGCCCCCCGCCGCCGTCCCCGCGGCCTCACCGTGGCCACGAACTGCAGCAGCTCCCGCCTGGAGGTCTCTTTGGCCGCGCGCGGGCCCCACTGGAACTTGAACTCCACGGGGTCCGTCAGGGGGATGGGGCTGATGTCCAGGTACCTGCCAGGAGGCGGGCACAGAGCCCTCGGTGGGCCTGGGCACGGGGGTGGGTGCTTGGGGGTTGTCCGGCGCGTCCCAGCCCGGTGCCGGCCCCTGGAGGCACCGGGCGCAGCGGGACGGGCGCCGGTTTCTCTGCGGCACGGTATAAACAGCCAGGCCGGGGCTGGCGCCGAGGCTGCTCCGAGCGTGCCGGGGTCCCCGCGCCGCCCGCCCTGCACTCACTTCTGCCGCACAAACTCCTCCGTCACCAGCTTCCGGACGTCCCCGAACACCTCGTGTCGCTCCCTGGGGACAACGACGGCTCAGCGGGGCGGGGGCAGCCCARCGGGTCCCCCCCACGTCCCCTCTCCCTGCGCCTACCCGGGATGCACGCGGAGCCGGCGCAGGAATTCCCACATGGCCCCTGGAAGAGAGCAGGGGGGTTGGAGGAGCAGTGTTGGGGGGGAGGGGGGGTGGGGGCGTGGTCAGGACAGCGGGCGGGGCTTACCATCCTTGACAGAGTTGCCCTTCATGAAGATGAAGCTGAGGATGACCGCGAGGAGGCCCAGCTTGGCTGTCTGGTCATCCCTGCCGTACCCGCAGACACACACACGTCACCCCGCCGAAAGGGGACACGATTCCCCCGCACCCCCCTTGGTGGAATCCGTCCCCCCAGGTGTCCCCTCCCCGCCCTCACTGGCGCAGGTTGTCCCCCTCGGCGCGTGGCAAGGTGCTCACGAGGATGTAGACGTGGTGCTTGGTGTCGATCTCCACCAGCTGCAGCCCAAACACCTGCGGGAGGCCCGGGGTCACCAGGGGGAAGAGCCTCGGGACCCCCCAGCACCCCCCTGTCCCCCACCTGCTGCAGGGTCTTCCCTGCCCGGTTGATGATCTCCGAGTAGACGTCCTTGTACTCGCCAATGACCTTCTTCAGGATGTCTGGGGGCAGAAGAGGGCGGCGTTGTGATCCCYGCGCGTGGCAGAGAGGCTCCCTGAGGCCACAGCCATCCCGTGGGGGCTCCAGCGCTCACCGGAGCGCTTGATGGGGATCTTCTTCTGGTCCTTCACGAGCAGGAACTGGACGAGCTCGCTGACCTGCGTGGGGGACGGCAGGAGGGAGGCACTGAGGGCCCCGAGTGAAGCGGGGCGGGGGGGGTTGGCACGTGGGGCAGGGCGCTGCCGCCTCCCACCTTCTGATCCACCTGCTCCGCGGAGCGCCGCTCCAGGCTCCGGCCGCCCTGGCCGTGTCCCGGGCTCAGCGTGTACTCCTCGTCCCCATCTTCGCCCTGCGCGGGCGGCCCCGGCAGCGACGCGTTAGCGCCGCCCGCAGCGGGGATGCGGCGGGGGAGCGGCGGCGGGGCGCGGCCCTACCTGAGAGAAGCCAGAGCCTCGGCTGCGCTTCCTCTGCGACATCCCGGAGGCCGCGGCGGCGACGGGGACAGGCGGCGAGCGCCGCCGCTCCGGAGTCGCCTCCCGCCGCCTGAGCGCCGCCTCAGAGCCGCGCATGCGCACACGGCCCGCGCCC